GAGGCTAGAGTCAAATGACTGGAAGGATGGGGGAAATAATCCTTGGCTTTCCAACATAGTCATCATACAATTGTTGTTGAGCATTGACAGAGTCTACTATTCAAGCAAGCCAGTGTCTTAGGCCATTTTCTCTAGAGAAACAAAACTAGTGAAATTTATATATGTGCATGCATGCGTGTATGTGTGTATACATATATCACATATGTATACATATATGTATATGTGTGTGTGTATAAGAGAGAGAGATTTATACCAATGGAATTGTTCCCACAATTGTAGAAAAAAGTGAATTCCAAGTTCACGGGTCAGACGTTAGGATGAGGGCTTCTCCTGACTCATGTAAGTGCCAGACTGTTGAACCCAAGAATGGCAGGAAGACAACATGCTTCTGGCTGCAGAGGTAAATGAACTCAAGGTCGATAGGAAAGATGGCAGGCTGCTGAAGATTCTCAGGATTAGCAGGTTGTTGGCTTAAGTTTAAAAAATTGGAGGACAAGAAGTCAGATGCAAAATCTAGACTCAGTAAAAAGCAAGCAAGCTTTTCCACAGCATCTACTTATGTAGAAAGCAGGCCTTAGCCTAGAGGAGACATCATTATGTGTGGTTACTAGGTCTTAACTGCCAAACCTCTGAAAATCCTGACCCAACCAAGTAGGCAAAAAACCTGAACTGCAACACCGTGTATTATTATGATTATTAACTTTTATATTTAAGGGGGCCTGCATGCTCTGGTTCGCCAAAGTATCTACCATATCGTCTTACACTGAAACTGCTTAGGCTACTAGTTTAGATTCTGAAGATATTTGGGGTTGTAGTTTATGCTACAAAATGAACTTAGATTACATTTTAAAATTCCAAGGGCGTGAGGAAATTTATTAAAGTAAATTAACCCATACAACAGAGCTACAAAGTTGATTTTACTAGAAAGGATAAGGTAAGTAGTGCAAGAGTTAACAAATTACAAACACGCAGGCCTTTTGGTTCTCAACTTTTTCTTTTTTTGGATGGTCTAAGAAGTTAAAAGTTTTGTTTTGTTTTGTTTCACTTTTGTTCAAAAATATTGTGCACTCCACCACCAACCTAAAGGTTAGCGGTTTACTGCCACCTCGTGGCACTGCAGAAGGACTGCAAGACCGTCTGTAGAGAGAATAGCTAAGAAAACCCTGCGGGGCTGTGTTTTAGTCTGTAACAAATGGAGTCAGTCACCCTGAGATGGAATTGATTGGATAGCAACAAGCTGGGTCTTAAAAACCAAAACAGGGAAAAGGAAAATGATACAACAGAGACCATAGAACAGAACTTAAAATATCTGACCCTTCCTGGGAAAGCCAGCCCTGCCCTAATGCAAGTGAGTAGAACAGCACTTAGACCGCCCAGGGAAATGAAACCTAAGCAAATTTTATGAATAGTAATGCATATCTCAGTGTTCTCTACTCAGGACTTTGCCTAACACTGTTCTTAAAAAAAAAGAAAGGAAGGAATAAAAAGAGAAAACTTTTGTTGTGAATTAGGTGACATTTTAGAAATTAGATCACCATTTTTGCATTATTCAACAATTTATCAAACCTCAGAATGTATTTCCCTGTTTCCATTATTCTTCCCTCTCCATTTACCTTTTGTTGGATATTATCTTCTACTTCAAACATGAACACTGTCTACCTTTGTACTTGGCACACGGTAAGGAAATAAGGACTTACTATTTCCATTGTTATTATTAGGGAACAGGAAACGTGACTATAAGCACACGTAATTTGGTGGTGACACTAACCCAGTGAGGAGAGAGAAACAACGGTTGGCCTAAAGCCTTAGTGCAAACGAAAGAGTGGATGTATCCAGGGGGCGGGAAGAGAAAGGAAATAAATCACTTTGTGAGTGGGAGGGTGACCAGTAATAGTAAAGGACATTAAAGAGGCCTATAGACTCAGTGATTAAACACTGAGCTATTAGAAAAGTTGGCAGTTCAAATACACCTGGAGGTGCCGTGAGAAGACTATCTGTGTCCGAAAGGCTGTGGGCACTGGAAACCCGCTGGATAATATTTACTCTGACACAAATGCAGTTGCCAAGGTTTGGCATCAACGCAACGGCTTTTTTTGTTTTACAGTTTATTGCCACTTCTTCCACATATGACCCAACTCAACAGTTTAGCCATGGTACGGAGAGTTGTATCGTCATTGCCAAGTTTAACTTTAGCACATTTTCTTCTTCCTTGTACTCCTTATTAGTGTAATTATTATTATTTTTTACCTGTGAGAAAAATATACACAAAACATTTTCCAATTCAATACCTCTACATGCATGTTTCAGTGCCACTGATCATACTATGTCATGAAACCATTATTGATATACTTTTCCCAATTATTCCACCACCAGTAACAAACTTACCGCTCCGCAGCACCTCTCCCTCCGTCACCAATGGTAGCCGGTTGATCAACTTTGGTTTATTTTTTATAGTAAGTTTCTTGATATAAAATTCATATATCATATACTCCCATTGTGAAATCATTTTTAAGAAGAGCGGTCTATCCATCATCGCAATCAGGTCTAGTGATCCGGCTCCTCTCCTGCATTCATTGCTCGCTCCTCCATCCCCCTAACTCTCCCCACCCCCATCCTGGAGCAACCCTTGCTGGATTATTGTATCTATTCATCTATGCCTTCTGTGTTTCATGAACTTGGAAACCTAGCATAAACAAGAAAAAGCAAAATAAGGCGGAAAGAATAAAATAATAATACAAAGATTAAAATAAAAGGGTAAAAAGACCAAGAACAGTATTAAAACCATAGAAATGAAATTTCTGACATTGAACAACCTAGATCAAATTTAGATTGGGTCAAGAGGAAAGTCAA